GGGGGGGGGGCGCAGTGACAGGCGGCTTTCCATGCCAGACTGCGGCCCACAGCCCTGATGTAAGAGGCTACGAGGAACCTCTGTGGGTCTTTAATCAGGGGAGTACAAGGGTGAATATGGGGTTTTAGGAAGATTAATCTGGCAGCAGGCACAGGGTGGAAAGAGTCAAGCTTAGTACAGAGAATTATGACGGCTGCCAGGCTCCGAGAGGCAGGTCAGTGAAGGAAAACGGGCTGGTTCTCGGCTCCCTGGGCACCCAGGGTTCCCGGCAGCCGGGAAGGGCTGGGGGCCCCGAGGGGGCCGGCAGAGGGCACCGTGTGGTCAGCGACAGTAGCCACTGCAAGGGACCTCTGGCGCCTGCACAGAACAGGCAGCAAAGTGAATGCGTGAGAATGAGACGGCCACCGGCCCCTCGGCCGTGTGGCCAGTTCCGAGCTGCCATCCCACTGCGGGCTGCGCTCGGTGCAGACCCTCCAGGGCGGGCGGGACCGCCGACTCGGGCAAGCGTCAACTGCCTCCAGCGAGGGGCCACCAAGGTTCTGAGCGCCGCTCCCCAGGCTGGTCTGGAACCGGGGCTGCCCCGGCCAAGAACGGAAGGAGATGATGCTTCTTTACCTTCTTTTATTTAAAGCCGTCATGAAGCCGTGGAAGGGCCGGGCAGTTCCAGCGTCTCTTGGCCCCGAGGAGCCGCGGCCGCTGGTGGCTCCCCAGCAGCACGGCGCCTGGTGAGGCGCAGCCCACCCCGGCCCTCACAGCAGCGCGTGGAACACCTCCACCTTCTCCCGGTACAGGTGGTGGAACTGCTTGGCCAGGCAGCGGAAGGGGGCTTCACAGTTCTCCAGCTCCTTCTGTAGAGACAAGAAGCCGGTGGTGTTACCGGATCGCTGCCGTTCACCTCACCGGCAGGGCTGGCGACAACCGCACCCTCTGTGTAGGAAGGAAACGGAGACGCCGACAGGTTATGGGAACTTGCAAAAGCCACACGCCTGTCAGCGGGGAAGCTCGGTCTGTACCGGATGTTTCTACAAAGCGTGTACTTTCGGCCACGCTCACCACGTGTGTGACGGGAGACTGGAATGAGACGCGTCCTCCCTTAGGTTTGACTGGGGCCCCGAAGGCCAAAGCAAAACCACAGACGGGCAAGGATGCCCACAGTCACCTTGAGTCAGGCAAGGCCGTGGCACTGACCCCTGGGGTGCCTCTCCCTCACCCCGAGCCCAGTGGGAGGTTCCGAGATGAAGACCGAGGCCCGGGGGGCTCAGGCCAGTGCCGGGGCCAGGCCTGGGAAGCATCGAAGTCCAACTGGGGCTGGCTGCTTTGATGGCCCAGCCAGGAGAGGGTCGCAGCAGCCCTGCCCTGGACCACCGGTGGCCTGAGCGGGGAGCTGGCCTGCTGTGGCCTTGAAGGAACTCTGCACGGACGTGCTCCAGGAGGGCGATGGCCCCAACAAGAACAGAGGGAGCCAGGCTGCGGCAGGGTGAGGGGGTGTCACCTGTGATCTGCAGGTGGTGGGGGGGGGTTCTGCCAGTGGGCCCGGGAGGGGGCATCACGGCGGTGCTCCCAAGGCGCCAGCCCGAGACACCCGGCAAGTCCAGAGGGACTGTAGCAGGTCCCAGCAGGGCCACCTGAGCCGCCTCTCCCGCAGGCTGCGGGCTTGCGAGGCAGCACAAGTGTAGGACCTCGGACCAGCGGCCCGGCCTCCCACGGCAGGTGTGGCAGGAGGCACGGACGCTAAGTCATTAGGAACCTACAGAACCCGGCACAGCGCTGTGCATTTTCATCACTGAAGTGAGTATTTTGTGACTAACGGTGCCCAAAGGACTTTTTGTTCTCGGAGAGATGAGGAAAGTTCCGGAGGTGGCCCTAGACTTTTCTCTACGGGGTGGGAAGAGCCGGCCCTCCAGGGTGAATGCGGACGAGCTCTCGGGGAAAGAAAATGGTAGCCTCTCAACGTAGCTACCGCCCTCGCACTCTCTGTGTGCACGTGTGCATCTGTGACTTACCGACTGTTTTGCGAAATAAGTTGCCAGAAGAAAGAGCCCGCTCCTTTCAGGGCAGAAGCTCAAGCTGGGAACGCATGAGAACCTGTTTCCAAACAATCCTAGGCAGAGGCCACAAGTGCAGCCTTGACAAGAGGCAACAATACCTCCCCAACGAAAGGGAAGGATTTCCAAACTGAAGAATGTTCCGAAGTCATCGAGCCCACTGCCCTCGTCTTGTAGGGGAGCAGTCTGCGGCCCAGGGGGCGGTGGGTGCGGTGGCTCAGCTGGTGTGTGCAGAGCCGGGCCGGGGATTCGAACTCCCCAACGGGAGAAGAGCGGCCTTTCCGCTCCGCCAGCTGGGGCGACAGAAATGCACAACGGAAACCAGTTCTCACGGAGCGTGTCACCCAGACTTTCTAGCAAGGGACATCCCAAGGTGAAGGAGACAAGTTGGCCAAGAGCCGACACAGAGGGGGCGGTGCTGAGGAGCGAGGGGGGCCATCTGTAGGCGAGACGAGAACCCCCACTGTCAAGGACCAGCAGCCCTCCAGTCGGACAGGAGAGAAAGAACATCGGCAAGGCAGATGTGTGTTCCGGGCAACGCCAATGTTAAACAGTAAAATGTTACACTGGCTGAAAGGATCGTTAAGTAAGGAGCGGAAAGAGAACGAGGCCTACGCAGGACACACACAGGGATTTCCAAATGAATCTGAGAGCTCCCAGAAGCAAGATGTGGGGAAAACGCAATATTAAATAATAATATAATATATATATAAAATATAAACATTACTTATATACATATATAAATATATTATATATTATATATATTATATTTATATATTATATAAATATTATTTACAGAAGCTTATATATATATAAATTTATTAACATATAATATATAATACATATAAAATATATTTATTTATTTATAATATTTATTTATTTAAATATATATATTTATATATAATATATAAATAATATTAAAAAGTTAAGAAATGCAGTGGAGATGAGCCTCTCTGTATACCAGGGAGCACTCCTGAAGTAGCAGATGTAGACGGAACCATTTTCCGAAGGCATTAAGAGGGTTTGCCAATGACAAGAATCCTGGAACCCTTCTGTTAACCGATCACAGTGTCACTGACATACCCCAGAGGATGTCCGCTTTGTGTGAAAGATCCTTAGAACAGGTTCTCAGACCAGTGCTCAATCTGGCCTATAGTTCTGCCCCTGAGAGTCCCAAAGTTGGTTCTGTGGCAGGCCAGAGCTCCTTCTAGAAGGTTCTCATGCTAGACAGGCCTGCGTTCTAGTCCTGGCCCGACTGCTCATAAGCTGGGCAACCAGGGAGAGCTATGTGACCTTTCGGAGTCTGCTCGGCATCTGTAAGACAGGGACAGCAGTGGCTGTCTGCCAGGGCTTCCAGAAGTGTCGGCGGCAGAGAACGTGTGCAAACACCTAGCCCATAGCAGGCCCTCAACAAACGTCGGTTCCCTCCCTCACCTTCCTGCAAGAGGAACCCTCCTCAAGAAGGAGGGGATCCTTCTTGAACTTGCTTGCATTTCATACTGTCCTACACCGATGGACACTTTATGTTTCTATTTTAACGTGCTTAAAACAACGCTTAATGTCAAATACTGAGGGCTGTTAGAAAGTCTAAGAGGAACCGCAAAAGACCCCAAATGGCCAAAGCAATCCCGAGAAAGAAGAACCAAGTTGGAGGGGTCAACGTGTCCTGATTTCAAACTATATTATGAAGCAGCGACAATCAAAACAGGATGGCCCTGGCATAGAAACAGATACAAAGACCAACGGAAGAGAACTGAGATCCCAGAAATAAACCCCTGCATACGTGGGCGATAGTCTCTGTGATAAATGATGCTGGGAAAACCAGATATTCACATGCAAGAGAATGAAGCTTTTACAGCATTCACAAAAATTAACTCGGAATGGACTCGAGGTCTGAACTTAAGACCGAAAACCATAAAAGTCCTAGAAGAAAACGTCGGGAAAAAGCTCTTGGACACGGAACTTGGCAATGATTTTATGGATATAACAGCAAAGCACAAGCAGTGGAAGCAAAAATCAATAACTGGGACTACATCAAACTGAAAAGCTTCTGTGCAGTAAAAGAAACAACAAAATGAAAAGAGCAGGGGCGCCTGGGTGGCTCAGTCGGTTAAGCGTCCGACTTCGGCTCAGGTCATGATCTCGCGGTCAGTGGGTTCGAGCCCCGCGTCGGGCTCTGTGCGGACAGCTGGGAGCCTGGAGCCTGCTTCGGATTCTGTGTCTCCTTCTCTCTCTGCCCCTCCCCTGCTTGTGCTCTACCTCTCTCTCTCTCTCTCTCTCTCTCAAAAATAAATAAACACTAAAACAAAACAAAACAAAAAACGAAAAGGGCAACCGATGGAAAACGAGGAAATACTT